GGAAGGTGCACCCTGGCTGCCCGGGCTGGGGGAGTGCGGATACCTCTGCCAAGGCTGCTGCTCATGGTGGGGGGTCTCATGGGGGTGGGTGGGAAAGCTGAAGGGGAATAAGCTGTCCGGAGGAGGGAGAGAGGAAACTCAGGCCGGAGGAGGCTTCTTAGGAGCAGCTCAGAGCAGAGAGACTGGCACGAAGAAACCCGAGTTAGGCTGAGGATTATAAAAGTGAGGAGGGGATCAACTCCCCTGGGTCATCTACTGGAAAGCTTTGACTGGGCCAGAACTTTGCAAATCTCAACTGCTGGGCTTTCAGAAGGGCTGGGAGCCACCTCCTCCCCAGAACAGGGGCATCTGGTGCCCCTTCCCTGGGTGAAGGTACTGGGTGCTATTGCCTCTGCTGCTCAGGGACTGTGCCTGTACAGGGTCCCTGAACTGAACAAGAGCAGTCTGTCCATGTGGATGGCTTGAAGGACACCCCCAAGGCAATAAATAATGCCAGGACATGAGTGTCCTGCTGGCTGACGCAGCCCCGTGCCCATATCTGGTTGTCCCATGGCCAGGCAGTGTGTGCAGGCTGAGGTGCTCATGGCTCTCCTCCTCCTGCACACCCAGAGGGGTGAAATCACACTTGTTTCCTCCTGTACCCTCCAGTAACTCTCTCACAGTTCAATCCTGTCTGTTTTCTCTCTGGAGTCTTCCCCTCCCTGCAGCCGTGGGGCACCCACGTGAACATTTGTGTTTAACTCCCCCGCTGCAGCGGCATCAGCAGCTCCCTCGGCTTGTTTTCATTTTATTCTTTTATAAGGAGGGGCCAAAACCCCCTGACCCCCCCAAGGCCAGTGCTGCAAGCCCTCAGTGGGGCTCCTGTGCTTGCCCAGCTGTGGGGCTTGCCTGGTGCTGGAGGCTCATCCCTGGCATGGAGGGCACCGCTGCTCCCCGTCCCTTATGGTTCCCTTTCCCTTTTCTCACCGATGCCATGTGAGCCAAGCATTTGCTGCCTTTGCTGCTCATTAAAGTGCCTTTTCCATATGACAGGCTGAGATGCTGATTTTTATTTTTTTTTATTATATATTTTTTTAAATCCCTCTAAGAGTCCTTCTGCTGTCTCAGTGGATTGGGAGCTCGATCGCTGTGATCAGCCCTCTGGGGCTTCCTGTGCCTAAAAAAGTCACCGCACGTAAGCAAAATCCAAGCGCCAGTCCCGGCAGCGGGAACTTCAGGGACACGTTTAATATTCTCCGTGCGCAGCCTCTCCCCGCACAAGTGGGTCACAGCACCTCTCGTTCCGAGGTGCCGGGGCGGGCAGGGACGGGATTTTTGGGGGCAGGAGCCAGGAGGGAAAGGGCAGGCGAGGGCAGCTGTCCTGCCTGCGGGAAGGGGACGGCGCGACGCCGTGGTCACTGCTGCAGCCAGGGAGGGGGGTCTGGTCTGGGAGAGCCGGGCTGCTCCTGCCGGGCCAGCCGCGCTTTGCTGAGGCTCCCTGGCAATGGAAACATCCCGCTTTTTATTTTCCTTCTCCTCTCCCCTCCCCTCCGCCTCGGGAGCGTTGCAGAGTTTAATTGAAATTGTTAAACGACCCATCACGGCTTTGGCCTCTCTCCCCCGCGATCAATCACGTCCCTGGGCGGCTGCCCTCGCCAACAATGCGCCAGGGCCAGGAGCGAGGGGCTGGGGNCGAGAGGAATGCCGAAACGAAGGGGCTAATGAGCACCAGAGAGGGAGGATCTATAACTTCCAGATGGCAACGAGCCCGTAATCCCTTTGGGATGAATTAGGGACTCGTCAACGCAGCAGAGCCTGCTGAAGGGAGCAAAGCACACCACCTCTGGCTCCAGGAGTGCTGTGAGAGGCTGAGGGCATCCCAATGCTGCCAGCGCTGGACACCCTGCCCCGAGCTGCCTGGCTTTGTCTCACAGAGCTCTTGTGCTGCTGCGAGCCTGTCCCCGAGCACTGAAGTAATTTTTGTTTTAACTGATTGCATGTTCTCCAACCAAACCCCATATGGGTCCTGCTCCTCCTGATGCAGAAAGGGACTTCTGCCCTTAACAGAAAGACTTCTTCCCTCTGGTTTTTATGCCCTGTGGGATTGTAAAGTGTCTTTCCTCCTGGATTTCATCTCTCATCAAAGTGTGTTTTGAGGAATTAGGGGTTTATTCCCATGGCTTTATAAACCTCTGGGATCTGAGGGTTTCTACGTTGCCGCTGCTCCCACCTGCCTGCGATGGGGCGCGAGCAGGAGCTGATCCAGGCCGTGAAGAACGGGGACGTACCTGGAGTGCAGAAGCTGGTGGCCAAGATCAAGGCGTCCAAGAGCAGTGAGTACCTGGGCAGAGAGCCCTGGGCTCCCTCCCCCTGGCTGGGCACTCCTGCCAGTGCCGGGGTGCGAGTCAGTGCTGGCTCTGACCCCCGGCACAGGAGTTATGCTGCGGCTGGCGGCGTAAGCAATCCTACAGCTCAGCTGGGGCTCCCCTCGGGCCCGGGGCCCTGCAGTGTGGGCCACTGAGCAGGGATGGGTGAAGGGAAGCAGCCGTGGCGGGGGGAAGTGAACCGCTTTGGGGGGACGCTGCTACAAAGGGTCTTTAGCGGTTGCTGCTCGCTCCCAGCCGTATTTATCTTGTGAAAAATTATCATCCCAGCCAGTCGACTGGAACCAATCGTCAAGCCTTGAATTTCAGTCTGGTAATGTTTAACCCTTCAGCAGGGCTGTTTCCTTGCCTGTGCTCTCAGAAAGGTCAGCAGCAAGCAGAGCTTGGAGTGAGCAGAGGGCTCGGGGGGGTCCCCAAGGGCACTGGGGTCCTGCAGATGCTGCACAGCATCTGGAGGAGATGGGGAGGGTGGAAAGGTGGATGAGATCCTGGCCACTGCCACGGAGCCTGTGTACAGAGCTGAGCTCCTGGTCGTTTCTCCTGACAGACCAAGAGAAGGAAACTGGGAAAAGTAAATAAAAAGGCTCTCGATGCCATGTCTGGCTGGGGGAAGGTGCACCCTGGCTGCCCGGGCTGGGGGAGTGCGGATACCTCTGCCAAGGCTGCTGCTCATGGTGGGGGGTCTCATGGGGGTGGGTGG